CAGTCATATATAAAGGTGCTACAGTCAGTTGAACCCAATCTTTAGTCAGTTTGCCTCTTAATCCTCATTTGACACTTCCTCCTCTCATATTCTATCTAAATTAATGCTCCGGTAGAGAAATTCAGTGAAATAGCAAACCCACACAGAGATTATCAGAACACAATCACCCCAGGTCAATTCAAGCTACCTAAAACTACTTGAATATTACCAAAATACGTTGCTTTATTATGCACTTACTGAGTGCATGAGACAGATTAAAAGGCACATGCTGACACTACTAAATATTAAATACTGCTGTTCCTTCTGACAGGATTAGCTAAATACCTAAATGATAAGAACATTCCCCTGTATTTTTCCTATACTCAGAAAATGTGCACAGAAAAGTCACTCTTTGATCTATTTCACTAGCTTCTGTTACTGTAGCAGGCCTTCATATATATAAAAAATTTATTTTTAGTAGTCTTTGGTAGCTCCTTAGTTTTCCTTTGATGTATAGAGGTTTTATGATCAGTAATATCCGAAAGCAGCTGGCATTACTACAATTGCTCTGAGTCAAGAAAAAAACAAACCAAAGGCAATGCAACACTGGCAAAAAGGATATGGCTTTTGTCTGTTCAGAAAATGTAATTATCTCAGTAAATGCATGTGGGTTTTGGTAATGAGACTCAGTATTTCAGATGGATTATTTTTAATATATTTTCACAGTGGCTTTATTAGATACTCTAAATAAGAGCTCAACTCTTACCTAACAGATAAATACCTCAGTCCTTCAATAGGTTTTAGATGAAGGGACTCAGCATGCTACACAGAATCCTAATGAGTTTGAAGGGGGAAATGGATAAAACCAGGCCTGCTTATCTGCCTGGGGGCAACATGCCTGTGTTTGAGGGACAGTGTGCTGGGGAGGTCCTTTGGTCTGTTGTCTCAGGAGAGACAGGGGATGGAGAGCCATGTGGCAGCAAAGCCACAAGAGATATTGATGTGTTAGAAACCACAGAAGTGCTTGAGAATGGGCCGTCCCCATCTGCTGAAAGACAAGATGACTGGCCTTGTTGAACTGAGAGATGTGGGAGGAACTCGGGGAAAAAAGAAGAGAGTTTATAACATTTGGAAGTAGGGGCAGGCATCTAAGGAGATACATGCATGACATGAGAATATGTAGGGAGAAAATTAGAAGGGCCAAAGCCCAACTAAACTTAATCTGGCTACTATTGTAAAAGACAATAAAAAATGTTTCTCTAAATACATCAGGAAAAAGGAGGACTTAGGAGAACCTCCATCCCTTATTGGATGGGAGGAAAACATAGTGAGAAAGGATGAGGAAAAGGCTGAGGTACTTAATGCCTTCTTTGCCTCAGTCTTTAATAGCAAGACCAGTTGTTCTCCAGGTACCCAGGCTACACCACTTAGACACACTGGTCTATGGGGCCGGATGGGCTCCACTCAAGGGGACTGAGGGAGCTGTTGGAAGTGCTCACCGACCCAATTTCCACCATTTATCAGCAGTCCTGGCTAAATGCGGAGGTCTCAATTGACTGGAAGTTGTAAAATGTGACACTCATCTACAGGGCCAGGAGGAGCCAGGGAACTACAGGCCTGTCAGCCTGGCATGGGTGCTGGGAAAAAGCATATGGAGCAGATCATCTTGGGTGCCATCATGTGGCATGGGCAGGACAACCAGGGGATCAGATCCAGCCAGAATTGGTTTATGAAAGGCAAGTCCTGCTTGACTGACCTGATTGCCCTCTGTGACAAGATGACCCGCAGAGAATGAGGGAAAGGCTGTGGATGTTGTCTACCTTAACTACAGTAAAGCCTTTGACACTGTTTCCCACAGCATTCTCCTGGAGAAATGGGCTGCTCATGGCTCAGATGGGAGCACCTTTCACTAGGTAATAAACTGGCTGTTTGGCCAGGCCCAGGTAGTGGTGGCAAATGGTGCCACATCCAGTTGTCAGCTGTTCACTAATGGTGTTCCCCAGAGCTCAGTCTTGGGACCAGTCTTGTTTCATAACTTTATCAATGATCTAGATGAGGGGATCGAGGGCACACTCAGTCAGTTTGCTGATGATGCCAAGCTGACCAGGAGTGCTGATCTGCTGGACTGTAGGAAGGCTCTGCAGAGGGATCTGGACAGGCTGGATTGATGGGCCAAAGCCACTTGCCTGAGGTTCAACATGGTGAAGTGCCAAGTCCTGCCCTTGGATCACAACAACTACAGAGCACTACAGGCTGGGGGCAGAGTGGCTGAAAAGCTGCCCAGCAAAGGACCTAGGGGTGAGGGTCAACAGCAGCGGAACATGAGCCAAGGGTGTGCTCAGGTGGCCAAGAAGACCAATGACATCCTAACTTGGATCAGTAGTGTGGCCAGTAGGATCAGGGCAGTGATTGTCCCTCTACTCAGAACTGGTGAGACACCTTGAGCGCTGCATCCAGTTTTGGGCCCCTCATGACAAGGATACTGAGGTGCTGGAGAAAGTCTAAAGAAGGGCAGTTGAGCTGGTGAAGAATCTGGAGCACAAGTCCTGTGAGAAGCAGCTGAGGGAACTGGAGTTGTTTAGTCTGGAGAAAAGGAGGCTCAGGGGGGATCTTATTGCTCCCTACAGCTACATGAAAGGAGGTTGTAGAGAGGTGAGAGTTGGTTTCTTCTGCCAAATAACAAGTGATAGGATGAGAGGAAACAGCTTCAAATTGTGCCAGGGGAGGTTTAGGTCAGGTAATAGGAAAAACTTCTTCACCAGAAGGGTTGTCAGGCAGTGGAACAGGCTGCTCAGGGCAGTGGTTGCATCACTGTCCCTGGAGGTATTTGAAAGACAAAGCAGCTCAGATAAGAATCCTAGCATGATCCACTGTGTGCTCATATTGTTTTGAGGTGATCAACACTAAAATTACATGTTCAGAAAACAGTTTTAACTGTGAATTTACTGAAGCACAATCTGAACCTTCCATCTGAATTCCCACAGCTCCCCCATGCCAAACAACACATATCTGCATGATGAGGCATATTAATTCAACTGGCATCGAACATTTTTTTCCTTGGATTAATTCTAGCAGTGAATCAATTTCCTGATCTGGTTCAGCAGGCAGACACAAAAATGTCTGTGTTAATGGAAGTGAGCAGCTCAGGAGATGAAAATGCTTTTGATTGACCTCTACCCACTTAAAGCATGTGAAACTACCTCAGGGATCTTATGCACAGGCTGTCAGAACATATGGCCATTAACCACCAGTCTGGTCCCTCCCTTTCTGGGATATTTTCTTACAGTATCCATTGTTTTATATCAGAAATATTTACTAAAGTGTGCATTCACACTGTGGTCAAAGCTTATGTGCTGTAAGATATGATTTACTGTAAAGCCCTGAAGAATTACATTACATACTCACATTAGTCTATTTAAAAAAAATATTTCCCTAAAGGTGGCATTTTGTAAATTTTTAATTACAGCACTGATGCACAAATATTTCTGCTACAAGTACTGGCTATTATCTCAGCAAACACCATTAATTACTGTTTGAATTTACTAATAACACAACACTTACACAATTCAGTGACCACTTTAGCACCAATAATATCATCATTGTACGCAACAGTGAGATCCACTACTATGTCATTAACATTTATTTCATCTTGCAAAGGAATTATTACAGTTGATACAAAGGACAAAGCTCTTTTTGCTCCAGCTGAAAAAGTCTGTGAATAAATCATGTCATGTTTAGATATGAAAAACAGGTCAGTGGCTACTGAGATGATGTTTCCAAAAGCAGAACCTTCCCTACAGCAAAGCTTTAGGAAAATACACTTCATCTGACAGCATACCTTCTTTTTATCAGAATCCTCTTAGAAGGCAGTGGATAAAAAAATCATTTCACTGTATAAAAGGCCAGAGAGAACATTCTGAGGAATGAAACTTCTTTTAAATTACAAATACATGGCATAACACTTTAAGACTTCACTTGAACCAAGACACTTCCAACTGATATTACGTACCTGGAGGCCAGAAAAATCATCCTCAGGTGCATAGTTTTGAGTGCCTCAGAGAAACTGGTGAGAACAGTATCTTTTTTTGAAAGAAATGAAGCAGGAGAAAGTAGTGCTTACTTGTAGTAATGTTGTTCTCCTTACAGCAGTTACTAGTTTCCTTTGCTACCAAGATAAAGTGGCTTGCAATGCATCTGCTTTATTGCTTGGCAACTAAAATCTTTACCAATTATAGGTTAGAGGAGCTCTTCTCCAAGGAAGACACATTTCTTTTAATAAAAAAAATATATTTATGAAGATCCTACTGCATTAGTAAATTATAAGAAAGGCTATCTTAAATCTTTATTAAAAATATGAAATAATCACACTGAAGAGAGGATTATTCAAAATTGATTGCACATATACTCACAAATCATACCTGTTCCTTCATCAGCCCCCGGTGGTCCAGGGGAAAATTCACTGCACTGTCACTGCAGAGACCCGGGTTCGAGTCCCGGTCGGGGCCCCTCCCCGGGCAGATGGAGCTCGTTAGCCCTGTAAGGCAATCCATCTACGTCCTGAGGACCTCACTGCCACCGTCCAAGCGTGCTTGGCCCCGGCAGATGAACCTCAGGATTAAAGGGTGGGCTCAGTTCCGCGCACACTGTGTCTCACCTAAAAAATCCAATGCGCAGGCTGGAAGGTGGAAAGACCTTCCCCGGTTCTTCGTTCGCGAAGAGACTGGCCATTATTACTTACGGATTGCTACTGCCCCAGACAGGCAACTGCTGCAAAATGAGGCATTTTTGTCTTAATATACTAATATGGTTGGTGGAGACATCTTCTGTGACCAGAGTTCAGAGAGACTGAATCACATGTTATTTAGCAGCCATGGTTCTGTGGTAAAAATACGACAGTCATTATTACACATTCCATTTGATGTAAATGAGGAAGAGCTTTTAACAGTTTTCTCTGTTTTATTTTGGTGGAGAAATATTATTTATATGCTTGGAATAAAGGGTAAAGAAAATCTACAAAGTGATTATAAATTAAGACCAATACTGACTTTTATTTACATAGTTTAACAAACAGACTCGAGCAATTATTACATCAGTCATTCAGATTCTGAACATCACTATAAACAACAAGTTTATGCCAGGCCTAGCTAGTGTTGCATTCTTCACGGAGCTGTGATTAATGTTCTACATTTTTCTTTTTCCAACGAAGCCACCTCAGAGCTCTTGCCAGTGCTACTTGTCCCATGAGGAATGTGATCGTAAAATTACGTTTATACCACTCTCTAGGATTCCAAAGCCAAGAAAATAATCAGCACACAGAACAAGAATAGGAAAAAGGTACACAATTATATTAAAATATCCTTTGGCATTGACAAATGACAATTCAGTGATAACCTGCATTTTCTGTTCTTTGTGGTAAAACTTTTCCTGCCTTATAAAATTACCTATGAAAAAGTCTATATGTATACCCACATCCACAAGCAGACTACAGGGTTCTAACTGTATTTGAAATCAGGTGAGATAAAGTAGTTAAAACCCTATCTCATGTTACAAAAGTAAAGCTGATCACCAAGCTATCCAGAATAACTCCTGACAGTGCTGTGCAATGGGTAAGATTTGTTTGCAAGTGGATGAAGATACAAGTGTTGAAAAGGGCATAGCTGGCCACCTGCGAGGGCGGGGAAAAATAAAATCAAATCACACTTCAAAGATTATTGTATAATCCAATACAGGAAACATTATCTTTCTACTGCAGTTTCCTTTAAAGATAATGCCTTTAATATTGCCAGAGTTAGTATTTACATCTTTAAATAATTTAATTTTTATAAAGCATCCATGGCTTCTGGAACCTGTTCATGTTATACACAGAATAGTCTGTATCAGCCCTTTTTAACCTCTGAGAACTTGCTTCAAATTCTTGTCCCTATTACAAACTAAAGTAATATCAAAATTTCTTTCTAGTTTCTAACAAGAATCTTGCCCCCATTTTGTAAAGTGCTGCACAAGCACCAATAGAATACACAGAATCACAGAACTAGCAAGGAACATTAAGCACTAGATTTAGGTCTTCTATTGAGATCTTTGTGGGAAACCTTGCATGTACAGATCTAACATAAGCCTGAGACACTAACCTCTCAGTAAGGACAGTAGCCAAATTCACACTGACAAGCAACACTGAGCTACCCCTTCAGATGTCATGTTAAATCAAAATATCATGCTAACATTGCAACTGTTTCTTTTCCCCTTTCATGTTTAATTTCCTATATCCTTCTTGAATTTTTTTCCTAAACTAGGCTGTATTTCCAGTCTAGGTACCCTGAACTAAATATTCAAGGCATCTATGCACAGTCATTGCTTCAATTTTGTTTAAATTTTAGAAGTTGCAACACTTCAGCTGCCACAGTTTTCAGGCCAGCTGGCAATACTGCAAAAGAACATACAGCTAAATGCATAAACAGATTTTTATAACATGACCCCTCAAAATCAGAGTGCCAGTAAAAAGCTCTGCTGCTTTCAGGGCTGTGCAGTTCCACTTTGAAACTACAACGATGCAGCTGACACTACCTAATTTTACAAGGCAGAAACCAGGAAGGTCATGTTTAAGCACAAAGCCTGAATTCTCTCACCCATGAGGATGGGGCACTGTCCCAAGGTCACTACAACAATGGCAAATGGTGACCAGTTCCGAGATAAACTACTTGCATTCCCATTTATCAGTTATAGGCAATTTGAACACCAATCCTTCCACCAAAAGCAATTTCTTACTTTCCATCTGTCACTTCAGTTTATAGTGAGGTTCCCCCCCATCGCCTATGGGCAAGACAAGATGCGTGTATTTGTTTTAAATATTTTTCACAGTTAAGTTGTTCTCACAGGGTAGTATTTTCTGGTTCATGCATGATACATAAGAAGAACCTTAACCCACAATTTGTTAGAGGTCAGTTACAGTGACGGTAGAACTCTCACTAGCATCGCACCATTAGGAACCCAGTGACACTCGATACTTTTGAGCCCCATAACCTTTCAATCCAATGCAGAGAGGAAACTGAAGTTGTGGTGTCATATTCAGTGGGCAGTACTACCGTGACTGGATTAAGTGCTGTCCTCCTCCAGCTTCCCATTCTTTCCTCATTTCTAGCCCTTTCTCATGTGTGCATAGCTACTTGCAGGGTTATGTGTGTTTGCCAGTCATTTTTCATTCCTTTCAGATCCCCAACACAGTTTATCAGGTTGTTGTACAAACAGTAACATTGAAACAAAGCAGCAGATCTTGTGAAGAGATGGAATGTGGGTTTACCAAGTTGTAGCTGAGGTTCTACACGGGATAAATTCAGGCAATCAATTTAGTAATGCCTTGCCACACAAAAAAAACCTCTCAAACTCAAGGCTAATCACCTTCATTTTTACTAAATGCTTACAAAATGACAGAGCCAAGAATATTAAATATTAATTCAATGAAACAATTTTCCTTTGAGATAAATCACATTTATTAGTCCTCATTTAACAGTCAACCAGAATCTGTTATACAGAAAATTTCAACCAGTTTATTTGCATATTTATCAATTAGCAGCATGGAAAGACCCATGACCTAAGATAAAAAATTGAGTGCCTGATCTTGCGTCTTTAAATCTCAGACACAAGCTTCCTCTTTCCACTAAATAAACAATAAGCAGCAGCAGAACTCAAATGATAATGCAAATTTCTGTCAAATGCTCATAATAGCATAAAAAAATGTCTAAAATTATAGTTTTAGGTGCTGTTTCCAATTATGGGAAAAAAAATGTTCAAATTTTAAACTTGACCTCATCTTTCTCTTAGTCTGTAAATACCTTCCACGTACCTGTTATACTGCATATGTTTTTTGAAATTTTTACTTAGAAACTCCTTGTAAAAGTCAGCCATTTCTTCTGCATTCAGTGTTGCTTTTTGACCTGAAAATAAGTGTTGGTATAAAAAAGTCAAGGTAATTCTTTGCATTAAAACCCTGAGTTCAGACGAAGAAGAGCAAGGTCTGACTCCTTGCTCCTACACACTTCCTGTGTAACTCTGAACAAGTTAATATCCTTTATCTTCCAACTTTTTAAAACTTAGCTAGAGAGCACAGCAGATTAAAAATAGTGATAATTTTGAAGTTGGCGTGGTTCTTAAGCCCCTATTATTTATGGAAGTGATTAAGTTTATCAGCCCTTAGATTATTTAGGGAACTAGTGAATCTCTATGAAAAAGCCCATTTATTCTCTGAATAAAACTAATTTCTCATAGAGCTGAAGTCTAAACAGTACCAATAAGAGCAATTAGTTATTTAAATTTCCCCCCCTTAAAGCAAATATTAAAAAAATACTATCCACAACTGACATTGTATTTTCAGATGTATGTTTTTTTTTCCTGTCACTGTTGATAAATTTCAAGTAACTTACACCAAAAAGAGTATGTTCTGAGATGTCAGCCTTATAAACAATTTATTAGGCAACTATTTGGTGAAGAAGCAAATACAAAAGATGATTTTGAATATGACATTCAGCAGCAGAATATAAAAAGAGAAACAGTAAACCCTGTGGCTACAGCAGAGATGTGTAGTCCTGAGGACCAACAAATATTCTCAACTCTACCAGACAACTCCCATACAAACCTTCTGGCACAAAATGTCCCTACAATGAGGGTCAGATCTGAATGTCCCAGGGAACATGGATATGATGAGGGAGATGGAATTGTGATATTCAACTTGTTACTGTTTCAAAATGCATTTTAAGGCTCCTGAGACTGATCACAGTAGTGTAAATTATTGATTGGTTCTATTTATCATTATTTACAAAACTAATATGTTACAGTGGATTAACATACTATGGGGTAAATCTGCTTCAAAACTACTTGAAGGCTGCTTTAGTAACACCTATAATTTGTTACTTATTACTGGTATCAGAAGAATTGATTGGTTACGTAGAAAAGTAAATTTTGTTCCAACTGTTCATCTATATGGTTATTCCTTATTTTTACATACACTCACAGCTGTATATAGAATAGTTAACTGATGCATGCAGTCATTATATTTTTAAGGGAGGTACATGCTTACTCTTTTTTATTTCTAGGGTATAAAAAACAAAACAAACACAAAATGGCAATATAAAAGAAGTGTTTTCAAAAAAACACAGAACTTAATTAAAATTACTTCTCAACCACACACTGATCACCAGGATACAAACACACAAAAAAATAATGGTCTGTGATACACAGAACGTCAGAGCAGATGCTTTACTAAACTCAGATCATTATTCTATGAACAAAATGTTCAACCTCATATTACAATGGCCAATGCACTCTTATTATGAAGGTATTTTGTTTTCAGCTTCACATAATGAATTAGAGAGGCCACTATTTTACAGCTACTGTGCTCAGGCAAAGACAGGCAGATAGCGGCTGCCATCTCCCCAGAAGCTGCCTTATTCCCCCTGAAGGAAAAATACTGTGTTTATTGCATATATTATGGACCTGTTGGCAAAGATTGTGAATTTATCCACCCAACCATAACATGCACTTGAGGCAAACACTCTGTATGTTTGCCTCAGCCAGCTCACTGGGTTAGGAGGCGTGAAAGTAAAAAGCCCCTTCCTCCTTAGGCTATAAAAGTATTATATTACTGGGCTAGGGTTTCAGCACATCCCCTCTGGCTGCGAGGAAGAACAGTGCAACAGATGATCTGACCCCCACGTGCACATCTCTGAAGAGCTCCTCCCTACTTTTTTTATCATGCTCCTGAAAACACTTCTAAATCCTACCTGTAGGATTTACTTTTGACAGAAGACAAAGAGCATAAACTAACAAAATTCAAAGTTAAGTGGAATTCAGAATGCATCCTAAACTATAAACAAAGATCTCACTAACCTGTTTCATCTCTCATTTCCAGACCCTTGGCTTTCAGTCTTGAATAAATAAATTCTTCTTTTTCCTAAAACATGTTTTTCCACATTAGAATATGATGTAGTCAGTCCTTGAAGTTAACCATTGTTTTTAATTACATAGCAATGTGGTGTTTAACACCCTCAGAAATAACTAGCAACAACTCATTATACTTGGAAATGTCCACTGACCATCTGAATCCAGTGAGTTAGTCAAACCCGTAACTTTGTTACTTAGATCCTGCTCCCTGCAATCCTCAATTAATTCATGCAAGCATTCTACTGATACTTAAAAAACTTACTTGTGGAGTAAAGCTACAGCCAAGCTTCAGGATTGTTTGACAGGATCCGAACTTTCCAGGATCCAAAGTTTATAAGACAAACTATGGAGATGTGCTGTACTGTGTAACTGAGATTTTGAGTACAGAGAAAAACATACCACCTAAAAAATTTAACATTACTTAGATGGCAGCACAATAATTGTTGGTGTGTAAGTTTTTCAAACTTAGAAAGCAGTTCCGTGGAATTAAAAAAAAAATTAAAAATCAAGCTTCATTTTTGTCTGGGATCTTGGTAAGTTTTGGGAAGATGTTCAAAGCTTACCACAAATGACGGTGAATTACTTAACTGTTAGTGTTCTTCCAAAAAAACACAACACCATTGGTTAGGAGATGCTGAAATCAGGAAAGAAGACAGACCATGACAGAAAAGTCCTCACTTTAGCACTGTTGGGGTGAAACAGCACATGTCCCTCTTTTACCTGTGGTAATTACACCTAATTTCTCTCACTTAGGACAGAAAAAGACAAGCTACGGAATCATTTTCAACGGCTGCTCTAGTCACAGATGGGTCTTGCACACTGGGCAGCTACAACTTTATACTTTCAGCATAAGACAGGACAAAAGGCAAATATTCTGTGATGCTAAACAGCAATAAAATGTGGGATTTTTTTAAAAGAAATGACTGACAAAAAATGTAATTTCTGCAAAGACACTGTGTTTTAAAAGAAACCATATCAGTTACCAGTCCCCAAGGGCGGGCAGAGCCTCAGGGAGCCCACAGTTCCCAGTTTCGGGTGCGCGGGTGGCGCTGGGCGGCAGCGGGAGCTGTGTCGGGCTCACCTGTCGGAAGGCGCAGTTGTGCCGTGCCCAGAACCGCTGGTTGCAGGCCTGGGCCTCCTGCCGGGCCTCCCGCAGCCGCCGCTCCAGGGGCGACTCCTCGGGGGGCACGTAGAAGATGATGGGGCGCAGGTTGGAATGCTTGTCCGGGGGCCCGATCCAGTCGTTGTGGGAGTGCACGGGGGGGCTGAAACCCGGGCCCTGGGAAATACAGACGGAATTCTGTTACAAGCGCTTCGGCAGAGTTGCTGAAGAACACCTCGATTTGAAACAAATCCCATAACGCCACACAACCTTAAAACATACAAGCATAATACGTTCCGAAATTATGAATGTTCACTTACTGTAACCAAAAACAATGAGATACATTTACAATTTACTTTTACTTAAAAATGCACTACAGAGAAGATACCTTTGACTCTGTTACCACAGACATGAATCACAGGGTTTTTTTTTTAAGAGCACCCTTTTTTCGTTTTTCATTTTTTGTCACTCAGCACTTCATTAAAATACGTGATGGCAAGAACTATCACGTAAGCTTTTTATGGCACTGATCTCTGCTGTCTGGTGACCAGTGACAGCATCTGAGGGAACAGCATGAAGCTGTGTCAGGGGAGGTTTAGGCTGGATACTAGGAAAAGGCTCTTCTCCCAGAGGGTAATTAGGCACTGGAACAGACTCCCCAGGGAAGTGGTTGCAGCCCCAAGGCTGATAGAGCGCAAGGAGCTTTTGAACAGCTCTCTCAGGCAGATGGCGTGATTCCTGGAGCTGTCCTGTGCAGGGCCGGACCTAGATGATCCTTATGGGTTCGTTCCAACTCAGGTAGTTCTATGATTCAAAGTTTACCAAAGCCCCGTGTCGTTCCTGCATCCATGTGATCACACACAGCGTGTACCTGCCCCAGGCAGACCTGTTACCCAACAGTCCCGTCACTCACGGCCCCGCTGGGAGATAACAAACCCCTGGGGCCTCGGCAAACACACCCACGGCGAGAGGCCGCGGGGAACGCGGGGTTCTGTGGGGAACGCGGGGTTCTGTGGGGAACGCGGGGTTCCATCGGGACGCCCCCGCCCCCCCAGCGCTCCCCGCCCGGGGCTCCGCGGCGGCCCCCGAGCCTTCCTCCGCGGCCCCCGCAGGAGCTGTGCCCCCCCCCGCCCGGGGTTACCGCGCTGTCCGGCCGCTCCCCGCGTTCAGCCGCGCGGCCGCCGCCGGCGGAGCAGGAGGAGGCGCAGGAGGCGACGAGGAGGCGGCGGTGGCGGCGGCAGGAGCCGCCCGCCCTCAACACCGGCACGGCCGCCATGCCCCGGCGCTTTACGGCGCTGCCGCACGGGCGCTGCGGGCGGGGCGGGGCCGGGCCGGTGCCGGTGCCGCCCCCGCTCCCCCTCCCTCCGCGCGGCCGGGCCGGGCTGGGCCGGGCGGGGCTCGGGCGGTTCGCGGCGCTCGGCCCGTGGCGCAGAGCCGGGCCGGGCAGCGGGTTCCGGGCCGGGCGGCCGAAGGGTGAGTGGAGGCGGCGGGGCGGGGGCGCCGGGGACGAGCCCCCCGCAGGTGCCTCCGCGGCGGCCCGTTGTCCTTTGCCCTCCCCGCCGGGCCGTGCCGCGGGGCAGGCGGGAGGCGGCGGCCGTGGAGGGGCCGCGGGCGGCGGGTGCGGAGGGGCAGCGGGATGAGTGCGGGGAAGGCGGCGCTGCCCCGGGGCTGTGGCACAACCGCTGCTTTCCGCTCAGCCGCTGTTCGCCCCTTCCCCTCCGGGTTCTGCCCTGGGCTGCGGGTGCTCTGTTTGTTCTGCGGTGGCTTCAGCTGCAGAGCAGGTGCGGAGGGGAGGGCTGAAGGCTGTGGGTGAGCGCCGAGAGCTGGTGGTCTGGCAACTCGAGCATCACCCGTGCGGCCCGACTGGGAGTAAGGTGTAAAAAAAATTAGAGGAAGGGCGGTGAAATATCAGCCAAGTGGTTTATGCCTATTGCTAGAAATATTTAAAATAGCTTTAGTGCTGAAGTGCTTCAGGATGTGAAAGTTGCGACGTGTGCTTGCACAGCACTTAAGCAAGTCTTGTTCTCCTTTTCCTTGCAGTTCATCTGAAACTGGACAAGAGAAGAGGAATGGATATGGGTAACCAACACCCATCCATAAAACGGTTACATGAAATACAGAAGGAAGTCAAAGAGATTGAACAGCAAGTGGCTGTCTTCAGTGGTCTGTCTACCGACCGAGATTACAAGAAATTGGAAAGGAGCCTTACTAAACAGCTCTTTGAAATAGATTCTGTAGACACGGAAGGGAAGGGCGATATCCAGCAAGCCAGAAAGCGAGCTGCCCAGGAAACAGAGAGGCTGCTGAAGGAACTGGAACAAAATGCAAACCATCCGCGCAGACTGGAAATAGAGTCCATATTCAAGGAGGCACAGTCACTTGTGGAACGTGAGATCACGCCTTTTTACGAAGGAGGAAACTGTATTAGTGACGAATTTGAAGAAGGAATCCAGGACATTGTGTTGAGGCTTACCCAGGTGAAAACTGGCGGGAAAGTTTCGTTACGCAAAGCAAGGTACCGCACTCTGACAAAAGTGTGTGCTGTTCAGGAGATCATAGAAAATGGTATGAAGCAACAGCTGTCCCTGCCACTCTCTAATGATGCACATCCTTCTGTCGCCAAAATTAACTCTGTGATGTGTGATGTGAACAAAGCGAGAGGAACTCTTATTGCTCTTCTGATGGGAGTGAGCAGGAATGACACCTGCAGGCACCTGTCCTGTGTGCTTACAGGCCTCATTGCTGATCTGGATGCTTTGGATGTCTGCGGTCGCACGGAAATCAGAAATTACAGAAAGGAAGTAGTAGAAGAGATCAATAAATTGCAGAAATACCTGGACCTGGAAGAGGAAGCAAATTCCACTCACGCTTATGATCTGGCACAAAATCAGTCCATTCTGAAAATAGAAGAGATCCGCAAGAAGATGAAGGAAGTTAATTCTTTACTTTTAAAAACAGAGAACGCTTCTGATTTGTATTTGGGATCCAAAGCAGAATTGCAGGGATTGATTGCCCACCTAGATGAGGTGAGTGCTGGAAAAAATCCCTGTATTAGAGAGGCCAGGAGAAGAGCAGTAATTGAAGTTCAAACTCTTATAACATATATCGATTTGAAGGAAGCACTGGAGAAAAGGCAAATGTATCCAGAACAAACTGCTGCTGAACATCAGTCCCATAAAGCAGTTTGGACTGTTCTTGGAAACTTGTCTCAAATTCAGCAAGAGGTGATTTCATTTGATGGAAACAGAACAGATAAAAACTACATGAGGTTGGAAGAACTCCTTACAAAACAACTCCTAGCCCTGGATGCTGTTGATCCGCAAGGTGACGAGCGGTGTAAGGCTGCCAGGAAGCAGGCAGTAAAGCTTGCACAGAATATTCTTTACTACCTGGACATGAAAACAGATGAATGGGAATACTGAAACAGCCATGGCCTGACACAGAAGAACATTTTCTCCTCTGGCACTTTATGCAGATCATTGGCAGCACATAATAAAGTGGTGTGTTCTGTGCTTGCTGAAATCATGGAGATTGCATAAGCAGTTGACTTGGCTATATGTCTGCTATCCCACGCAGTCACCCACTTGCCATGGCAACTGTCAGTACACCATCAGCAATTCTGGTCACTGCTATAAGCAAAGAAGTGCGATTCTCTGAAGGAATAGCTTAATACTTGAACAAATGGCTTTTTTTTTTTTCTCTTTTTTTTCTCCTGTTTTTGTTTCAATAGCCTTGTGCAATGTTCAGTGAATGCAGATTTTTCAAAGACACAGAAACTTCCTTTTGGTATAATGCTGTCAAAATTATTTAAAGAGACTGGACATGAAAATTAGTATTCAAGCATGAGGCTCCATCCAGCAACTTCACAGCAGTCTGGATATACTCTTAATGTGCTGTTACAACAGAAAGTATTAAGGGCAGAAGCCCTGCTGGCTTCTGGATTGTTATTTGATTTATTCCATCCATCACACCATCTAGATTTCTCAGTTAATGGAGCTGTAATGCCAACTGCAAATGAGCATTTACATAGGCAAAGCCAATTATGTCAATTTTTTATAATACCTGAGCCCTTTGATTTGCAAAAATAGGTCTTTTGTTGTTGGAAACTCTTTCAAGTCGTTGCTTTAAGGTACTGAGACTTGGAGAGGAAAATCTGTGCGTTTATACCAAACAGATAAAGGGGATTTCGAGGATTTCAAACTGCCATCCATAAACCCTTGAAAACTGCACTGAACTTTATTTAGTGGCTGCTTAGGTGTCTTTTAAAATTCTGCTGTTGCATCTGGTTTTCACATTTGGTGAAAACAAACAGTTCACTTTGAAGTGAAATGAGCATTTTGGAGTTATTTTTGTAAAATTAGGTAGCTAGCTATAAAGATGTCCTAATGATGTAAATGTGTGATACATGGTCAGGTGTGGCTTCAAGAATGTCTTGGAAAAGACTTGTGGCAAATGTCTCTCCTTGCAACTCATCATTTAATTGTTTTAGTATGTTCATAAATAAGCTTGCTGGTACTGTTGTATGCATCTGCCTTTTTGTTTGTGGCTGCTAGTGCCAATCACATTTCTACTATGGCATGTTTTTAGGCATTTTTTGAAAGCATGGCATTAAAATGAATTAATTATAAAGATATATTCAATTATGGATAATTTGCACTCAGCTCTTTCTTGATGAACTAAGGAATTACTGTTCTATAGACGATGATTTGCACCACTTTAAGGAGTAAAAACCATTTCAGATGTTAAAACAAATATTTTTAAGATCTATTTTTGATTGATTAGAGAAGACAGTACTGTCTGTGAGAGACAAGTGCCTTTATGACACTGCTAACTTGCACCGTCATATGTAGATATAGGAACTGTTTACTGGCAGCTTGTTACTATTTGTAATCTTTGCAAACTGGATTTTTCACATATATGTCTAATACTACTATAGGATATGTCAAGTTAAGGTAATGCAATAGGTGACAGTTGTCCTATAGAATCCCAAGAATGAGTATCAAATTTGGGAAATATGGATTCTGCTTAAAAACTAAAGCATTGATGTGGAGTTGGGGGACTTTGGGCAGATCTTCTGTGCCTATTGCTACAAGAATAATATGTTCTGTAATATACTATGAGGTGTTGATTGAAGGCTGCATAACTTCAGAGTGTGAATAGATTTTGTTGGTGATTGTACAGGTGTTTGCTTTGCAAATCTACCTGCCAAAACTGATCTAATTGAGTACAGTGCCTAAGGCACAATTTGGCAATGACAGAGTGTTTGTTGGAGGATTCTCCCTGCTCCTTCAGAGCCACAACCCCGTTGAATTTATGTTTCTTTCATCAAAAAGAAATTTCCCCTGGTTAAAATTCCAATCTATATTTGAGTACTGTGTGGCTAACACAGAATATTAATAGTGTTATACACCTGAATTATTTAACTCATTTCAAGCTTTCTACACTAGCAGTTTGAACTGCAACTTCAGATTTGCCCTTACAGTTTTAGGAAAGATAAGATTTTGATAGCATAATGATATTATTAATTTTTCTTTAATATTACTGTCAGGTCTGCAGTAATTACTTGTAGTTTGTTTAAACAATTTGGTGTCTGTGTTCTCTGGAGGTTACACGTAGTTTCATAAATGTTTGAACCTCTTATGTACAGATGAATAAGTACAGTTATCAGATCTGTTCTATTTTAAATTTGTCTTTTAGCTTTTCTGAATGAATTATTACACCTGCATCTCTAAGAAGGCAAATGTGTAAGATTAGTGTAATTTTGACTGAGTAGAGTTCAGTAGCAAGGTATTATGTGGATTAAGCTTTTTTTCTATTGTTCTGTAATCTAATAAATTGACTATTTAAATTTTATGGTAGAA